TATAGCCTAGCTTAACCTGCTTTTCTCCTTTTCCCATTTTACACTAATGTTTAAAGCCTTATTGTCTGTTTATGTTGCTCTTGTGTTATTGGTTTGCTATCCGGTGCTGACCAGAGGAGGACGGGGTCAGCTTAGGAGTCTTCCTCTCAAGGTTTCTTCCTCTTGTTCTTAGGGAGTTTTTCCTCACCACTGTCACTGCTGGCGATGCTCATGGGGGCTTTGACCCAGATTGTTCTGTAAAGCTGCTCTGTGACAACAACTGTTGTAAAAAGCGCTATAAAAATAAACTTTCACTTAACATAAGCCTGTACAATTGCTTATAACTGGTTATACTGGCATGCAAAACACTTTATAAAACCTATATGACTATATAACTTCATAATGTCAGGTGTCATAACACATTGTAATATCTGTCCACAAGAACATCATAAACATGATAAACATGAATGTTGAAATTCACACTAACAAGCTTCTGGTATCATTTCTGCAACATATCAGGTCCAGGCGCACATCTGGTCAACATTTGTTGGGTATAAATACTTCTGGGATACAGAAGAAGATTTGGTAACACTTTCTATGAATGTCACCTTTGTAAACATCTATAAACACATTCCTAACATGTTATAATGCATTCATAAGACATTATAAACATAGCTATAAATATTTATAAAAATGCACTATACGTTATAGCCATGTTTATTATGCATTATGAATTGTTAACATAATAAATTATAAGTACTGATCATAACAAATTATAAGAGCTCATAAGTCGTCATTTGTCCGCTCTAAGTGAAGTGAAGCGTACTGTACTAAAGCCTCCTCCAGTGTTCAGAGTGAGGCTTCAAGTTGAAGTATTTACTGAAGGATTTACTGAAACACTAAAACATTCACAATAAAGCACATTACAGGCTTCAAATGTCAGAGTTTAAACTAGAGCTGCCATCAGTGTTTTACCCAATGTGGGAAAGGTAATGTACACCACCGTTAGCTTGGTATTTGTCTTTACTTTACGCTCTCCAAGCTGGGACTGACTTCTTTGGCACTGACATTATAACATGTTATTAACACTATTTATAATGCCTTATATCAACAATAATAATGTATAACAAACATGGCTGTAAAGTGTAATTCAGTGTAATTCTTTTTTTTGTAAATATTTATAACCATGTTTATAATGCCTTATGAATACATTATAACATGTTATAAATGTGTTTATAGATGCTTACAAAGGTGACATTCATAGAAAGTGTTACCGAAGATTCTGTATGGAATGAGATAATTAGGACTGCTTTTGGTGGACTTTTCACTGCTATATATATATATATATACGTAATGTGAATTTCATAGAGTTTGTTTATTGCTGGCTAACTAGAAATAGTGATGCTAGGCTAGCTGGCTACAAGTGCTTAACCATTAGCAATTAGCAATCAAAGCTAAATGGTTAGCAGCAAAAGAGAACTTTGTTAGCGAGTAGACAACAACAGTAAATCACAGCTTTGCAGCTGCCTTGTTTAGGAATACAGATGCTCATAGATATGGTATTCATATAGTGTTACCTAAACACTCCTTCATAACATTTAAAAGAAGTTTTTTTTTAAAAAAAAACTGTAACACTTTCTATGAATGTCACGTTTGTAAGCATCTATAAGCACATTTATAACATGTTATAATGCCTTCATACGGCAATATAAACATGATTATAAACATTTATAAAAATGAATTACACTTTATAGCCATGTTTATTATATATTATGAATTGTTACTATAATGCATTATAAGTAGTGCCAATAACATGTTATACTGTCAGTGCCAAAGAAGTCAGTCCCAGCTTGGAGAGCGTAAAGTAAAGACAAATACCAAGCTAACGGTGGTGTACATTACCTTTCCCACATTGGGTAAAACACTGATGCAGCACTAGTTTAAACTCTGACATTTGAAGCCTGTAATGAGCTTTACTGTGAATGTTTTAGTGTTTCAGTAAATCCTTCAGTAATACTTCAACTTGAAGCCTCACTCTTAACACTGGAGGAGGCTTTAGTACAGTACGCTTCACTTTACTTAGAGCGGACAAATACGACTTATGAGCTCTTATAATTTGTTATGATTAGTACTTATAATGTATTATGTTAACAATTCATAATGCATAATAAACATGGCTATAACGTATAGTGCATTTTTTATAAATATTTATAGCCATGTTTATAATGCCTTATGAATGCATTATAACATGTTATGAATGTGTTTATAGATGCTTACAAAGGTCACATTCATAAAAAGTGTTACCAAAAAAACCTCACTTAAATCTTTACTTCACTTAAAGTCTGGAATGACCTGGCATAAAGCTCTTTAACATTAGTGTGTACAATCTTATGAACAGATATCATGATGTATTATGTAACCTGACTTTAAAAAGTTACACTCTTGCTTCATAAAGTGTCAAGCATGTAATTATAACTACATAAGAGTGACACAAGCTCATGCTCTGTTTTATAAGATGTTACATATACCATATGATGCATTATTAATGCATCTAAAATGCATTATGAATACAGGATTCATTGAAAGTGTTACTAACATTTCTTGGGAAAACTGTATCTGGTCTCATTATAAAAGATGTTGCCATTTGTTGGGAAGATTTTATACCAAGTAGTGATCATAGTGAAGGTGAAAAAGCTTCCTAAAGTTTTTTATACAGCATTATAAAACAACACTCCAACGAAAAGAGCCACAGAATCCTAGAAAAGACCTTAAACAGCCCTATCAGTACAAATGGTTCAATGATATGCTATTGGAAAGTTCATGGACGTTCATGCACAGGTGCATCATGCAAGATTTATATCAGACTGATGTTGAGGAAGGTAAGAGAGACGCCAGTTGTCGCTGAAAAGGAGCTGCAGGACGGCCTGAAAGTAGCAGAACATCAGATACACAGAGAACAATCAGTGAACTGCACCTTCCTAAACCCCAGACTGAACTCCTCTGATAAAACCGAAGCTCAGAGATGATCTGTTAATATTTGCACTCAAGCGTTTGGACGAATCAGAACTCTTTTGGAATGATGTTCTCTGATGATAGCAACAATGATCTCAGCTCGTCATGGTTGGAGAGAGAAAGTTTCCCTGTATGATCCCAAAACACCCACAGTGAAGCATGACGGTGGTAGCATCATGACATGGAGCTGTTTCTCTGCAGACAGTACTGGAGCATTACACAGAAATCTCATCAAGCTAGAAGAATGGGGAGAAGATGGAAGCTCCTACCAGATAATGACCTAAAACATAAATAACTCAAGACTGGTTTCTAAAAAGTGAATCCCTTTGAAAATGTATGGAGGATTTTGAAATTCTGAGTCCATCGGAGGAACCTTCGTGACCTTGAAGAACCAAAGACAGTTTGCCAAGAACAATGGGCCAATGTTTACCCACAATGCTGCAAAAGGCTATGACTTCACACTTTGGATCACATAGATGTCCAAATACTGCTGTTACCAAAACAGCTTTGCTACAATGTACTAATGTTATTCATTTGTGATCTTTTTTATTCAAATTATCTTTGTTTATGCTTATGAATATACACTTTTTGCTCAGATTCATGAGTACAAAGACATAAAAGATTATGTATATGAATTTGAAGTGGATATATATGCTAAAAGCTTATCAAATCGTATAACAAAAATCAATAACAAAAACAAAAGTGTTGTTTTGCATGGAATTTCTGTTTGAAGCATACTGCTGGCTTAAGTGTCTCGCTGTGTTTAGAAATGAGAACGACTCCATTTCCGTCATTTTGAAGTTTATTATCGTATACTTTATACCGTCCACACAAAAATATTATATACAATTTGGCAAACACTGATAGTGTGTTTCAGTTTTCCTGTATCTGCATATTAGTTGGCCACAGAAACACAGAAATATCACAATATTCCCTGTATAATATCTGTTTAGATCTCTAACACAAGACAAGTTAATTGTAATATAATCTATCATCGCACTGATATTGCTCAACTCTTCATTAGATGTAATCATATCAATGTACACATCATCGCAGCAGTCTGTGTGATATAGCACAGAAAAGAACAAATCTACCTCACACAAATACACACAGATTTTCATAAATCAAGGCTGGAAGAACACAAAGGCTCTTGAGGAACAGGGCACTGAGAACCGAAGCTGCAAACCGTAAAAGATGAACCAGTTTATATTCAAGTTCTAAAGCTGCAACTCAGCCATAACATTATAACCTTGTTTTAACACTTACTGTCCATTTTATCAGCTCCACTTACTATGTAGGTGCACTTTGTAGTTCTACAGTTACAGACTGTAGTCCATCTGTTTCTCTGATACTTTGTTTCCCTGTTCAGTGGTCAGGACCCCCATGGACCCTCACAGAGCAGGTACTATTTGAGTGGTGGATCATTGTCAGCACTGCAGTAACACTGACGTGGTGGTGGTGTGTTAGTGTGTGTTGCGCTGGTGCGAGTGGATCAGACACAGCAGTGCTGCTGGAGTTTTTAAACACCTCAGTGTCACTGCTGGACTGAGAATAGTCCACCAACCAAAAACATCCAGCCAACAGCGTCCTGTGGGCAGCGTCCTGTGACCACTGATGAAGGACTAGAGGATGACCAACACAAACTGTGCAGCAGCAGATGAGCTATCGTCTCTGACTTTACATCTACAAGGTGGACCGACAAAGTAGGAGTGTCTAATAGAGTGGACAGTGAGTGGACACAGTGTTTAAAACCTCCAGCAGCACTGCTGTGTCTGATCCACTCAGACCAGCACAACACACACTAACACACCACCACCACGTCAGTGTTACTACAGTGCTGAGAATGACCCACCACCCAAATAGTACCTGCTCTGTGAGGGTCCATGGGGGTCCTGACCACTGAAGAACAGGGTAAAAGGGGGCTAACAAAGTATCAGAGAAACAGATGGACTACAGTCTGTAACTGTAGAACTACAAAGTGCTCCTATATGGTCAGTGGAGCTGATAAAATGGACAATGTGCAGAAAATTGCCATAAGTTTGTCCTCTATAAACATGGAATTTGACTTAGGATGCATTAAACTATTATGTCTCTGGAGTAACTGGTTCATCTCTTATGAGCTTCTTCCTGCTTCTTGAAAACTTTGTGGTCAACAGCCGACTGTTTACAACCTCTACATATATTTCAGATACAATACGCACAGCTATTGGATATCATATACAGTATATTGCCATCCACGCCGCATCATCAGATACAATCTTTATATTATTTGTTACAAAATTAAACATCATTCTAAATAGTCATTTTTAAGTAATACAATGATAATCATATACTGGTCTATATACATATTTGAAATGAAGACTTGTATGCAGTACACTGGGTCATGGAAGCATGTTCAACATTATTTTCATAACTTCTAACTCCAGCACTACAATCCTGTTGTGGGACAATTTCTATCTGTTCATAACAAAGATAATAATAGGTCACTGGTTCACAGGAAGAAAGGATAGAGGGAGAGATACACAAAGAGAGAGAGAGAGAGAGAGGATAAAGGCTTCTTCACTGAGGCAGTGCTTTGAGTATGGCATTCACCTCCTCCGCCACTGCAGTCAATGCGAACTCAAACTGCTCCTAAAGACAGAAACAGAGAGAAAAAAGCAGGGTTAGCCTTTAGATGTCACACGTAGCGCAAATGATAGCAAAATCTTGCAGTAATTTTATATGAAATTTCTGACATAGTTCAGGAGGTGAAGTTGTGTGGAAAGCGCAGATTCGCAAAATTCATTCTGAACCACATTTGGAAACTTATTTGTGGGCTCACGTGACTCATTCCTCATGGAGAGTCAGTGTTCTTTGGTAACAAGGCTAGAAGCACCATTACTAAAAGTTCACGCCACATCAAGACACTGTTGTGTATTATACACAAAGCTACACTGTGTATGTTTTGAGGATTTGGAGACCTCTCCAGGTGGAAATGTGTAATTGCATGGAGCATGCGAAACAACATGCTGTAATGCAAGTTGTGCTTTGGCCCCCTTCCCCGAGCGGATGAATCTGTTGATTGAAAGAGAACTTAAAGGCTACGTTCACACAGCAGGTGAAAGTGGCCCAAATCTGATTTTCTCACCAAATCCGATTTTCACAATAAACGTGACCCTGTATGTGTTTTGCTCGCTTACAGACAAAAATGAAAACTCAGTTTGTTTCCGGTTTTGTTAATCAAACACATTTCCATCAAAATATCGCTGCTGTCGAAAAACAAAACCTTGTATCTCCATTTTTGTCATTTTTCAGTTTTTGACATATTTTGAAAATGCCTGTTATCCTTTACATTGTGTGTCAATTTCATGATGAAAGGACCAAAAGAAACAAAATGGCCCAAAATGGCTTGTAAAAAATTCTGGTTCCATTGACCTTCTCCTGTAAAGTTACTATTCTGGAGATACTGGGTTTCGTTAATGGAACATTAGTTCACTCCCAACCCCACCTTGTCAGTTTTTTCAAATGACGAAGAAAATTTTGAAATAATGAAATAAAATACAGTCAAAAAAGACGGTTCTTCAAGGGTTCTTTAGTAAAGGTAGTGTTATATTTAGAACCATGATTTCCATGTAGAACCATTTCACACTTAATTCTTCAGATTGATGGAGAATGTGTTGTATATGGTTCCTTATAGACCCTTTCTGATTCTTTATAGCACCAAAAATGGTTCTGCTATTGTTAGAAACTTGCCATCCTAATGGTAGAAGAACCCTTTTTGGGTGCTATACAGAATCACATTTAACACATTCTCCAATGTGAAGAACGATTTCACCATGCAAAGAAACAATCAAGCATAAAATGGTTCCAAATAGAACCATTCCTTTTACTAAAGAACCCTTGAAGAACTCTTTAAAGTGTTGTTATTTCATTAGATTTTGTTGTCAAAAAATGTTTTCGCTTTTTTATGCCTTTATGGCTGCTTGTAGCTCAATCTGTGTCAGACGTGAGCGCCACTAATGCTAACCGCCAACAGTTGGCAAGACATCACGCATCCCAGGGTTAAAAATGCACGTTCGAGGTGTTTGTGAGTTGTTTGTGTTTGTGGGTTTTAAGCTGTGACTCACGATGTGTCTCTGCCCTGAGGGCCACTCCTGAGAACATCCAACACATGTGAAGACTGACCCTCAAACACGGCGGCTAAAAGTGGAGCTTCCTGCCGCGGGCCACTGTGGGAGTGCGGTTTGAAATGCAATGCTTTTTTTTTTTCTTTTTTCTTTCTTTCTTTTTTTTTTTCACAAAGCAGGAGCTGCCTGCGTGAAATTTTAAATTTATGGTCAAATCTACACGAGTGAAGTCGACCCACACCTTCTGAATGCAAAATATCCAACATGAATGGCAAAGTTTGAACAACCAGTGAAGCCTTATGAGCGTTTAAGGACATCGCTTTCTCTGGGAATCTCCAGCTAAAGTGTTTTTCCAGTATTTCCAGCTGGTTTCATCATTCATCATTTTCTTTTTAGACTCAAAATCGAAGTTTATGAAAACTGTAAGCATTTAAACTCGGAGCCAGCATGTTTGCAGAAAGCTGCATCTCTATTTGCACGATTTAAAGCCTTTAAATCTACTTTGTCCATGAGGTTCAAAGGACGCTGAAGAAAAATTGGCTCCCAGAAATTCAGTAATTATGTGCCAAATGCTCTCAGTAGTTAGCATTCATGCCAGAATTGGATTCTGGGGGACTTATAGTCACAGGTTGAGGAGGCAAGATTTGAAGTGTTACATCCCAGAGACATTGCTGTAGTGAGGTTGACAGCCAAACAGCCTATTTCACTGTAGCTAAGTCAACAGAAAAGTACTCCCTCATTACAATTACTAGAGAGCAAAAACAAAATTTACATTTTACACCTCACTTTTAACTGCCTAATTATTATAACAGCTGACAGAAATCCACAGCAGGTAAAGGCTAATTAGCCACAGGCCTAACTTTAGCAGCAATAGCAGTAGATGTCTAAGGTACAAGGTGGAAGATGGTGATTTTCTCGTTGTGTTTTTTTTCCACTGTATTGAACTTTGTTTCTTTGCCATGGTCAGTGCCGGCTCTACATAATAAGCAGATGCTTAAGTGATGGGAATAAAAGCAACTGGTTAATCATGTCTTAAAATAAAGAAGAAAAAGAGAAGATCAATGGAAAATGCTTCAAGAGAAAGTATGTGTTGTTTTTTTGTGGTTTTATTGTTATACCATTTTTTGGCCTAAAGTTTGACAACAAAAAGTAGTAAATCTGGGGTCTGTAATGAAGTTTCAGCTTCACAGAATTTAACAAACTCATAGACACAGTTAACTCGTATTACAGCACTTTCTCTGTTAATCCAGGTTTAGATACTCAGACTGTTCTTAATATTGGTTTTGACACTCAGGCTCTGATTAATCCAGGTTTAGATACTCTGACTGTGTTTAATCAAGGTTTAGATACTCACGCTGTGATTAATCCAGGATTAGATACTCAGACTGCCATTAATCCAGGTTTAGATTAATCCAGGTTTAGATACTCTGACTGCGATTAATCCAGGTTTAGGTACTCAGACTGTTCTTAATATTGGTTTTGACACTCAGGCTCTGATTAATCCAGGTTTAGATACTCTGACTGTGTTTAATCCAGGTTTAGATACTCACGCTGTCATTAATCCAGGATTAGATACTCAGACTGTGATAAATCCAGGTTTAGACACTCAGGCTGTCATTAATCCAGGTTTAGATTAATCCAGATTTAGATACTCTGACTGCGATTAATCCAGGTTTAGACAGTCAGGCTGTGATTAATACTGGTTTAGATACTCAAACTGTGATTAATCCTGGTTTGGACACTCAGGCTGTGATTTAATCCTGGATTAGATATTGAGACTGTGACTGTGATAATCCAGGTTTAGATAGTCAGGCTGTGATTAATCCAGGTTTAGATACTCTGTCATTAATCCAGGTTTAGACACTCAGACTGTCATTAATCCAGGTTTAGGTACTCAGACTGTGATTAATCCAGGTTTAGATACTCTGTCATTAATCCAGGTTTAGACACTCAGACTGTCATTAATCCAGGTTTAGACACTTTGTGATTAATCCAGGTTTAGACACTTTGTGATTAATCCAGGTTTAGACACTCAGACTGTCATTAATCCAGGTTTAGACACTTTGTGATTAATCCAGGTTTAGACACTCAGACTGTCATTAATCCAAGTTTGAACAAAGGAGAGCATTGATGGTCACTTTTATTTGTTTCAGGTGGAAAAACAGCACGAGGACACAAGATCAGCACCTTCAGGTTCATCCTGTATTATAAGAGTGCAAGACAAACTGCAATGTATAACTTTATTTATTAATTAATTTATTTTTTGAGCAGCCATAAACCACTGGTGTAGCAATGGGGGGGGTAGCTTTTAAATAATAGCACTGAGACCCCCTGTAACTATACATCTGATTCCCACGTTTCATTCAATAGCCTTAAATTTGCTTCCTTTTCCACCTGAAACAGGACTTTTGAAGAATGTGTAAATGTTATGGACTCAGAGCTACAATGCCATTCCGAATAAAACCTCAGTCTCCACTGTCTACAACTTTTTAACATCTGTTAATGCAAATTTCTTTGCGTCTGAAATCATGAGATCCTACTCTGCCCACAATTTCAATAATATGGAAAATTCTGCTTCTGAGAACACCAGGGGGCGCCATGAGCAGCTCCTCAAAGCAGCTCCTCAAAGCAGCTCCTTCTGCTGATTCCCAATCTAGATGACATGCTTGCAGTTTAACAGAAAGAGACATTGGAATAAACAAAAAGCATGGGCAACACTAACAAATTGGGTTTAAATGTCTTATATAAAGTTCAAATTGGATGCCACTATGTTTATATTGGTCTCATTACAGACACAAACACAAACCAAAAATAAATAAATAAATACAAATAGTGTGCACCACAGTGTAGGTCCAATTTGTGTGGCGTTAGAGCTTCTATTTACCTATTCTGTTTAACTGGTCTGATCTCCCATCGCTCAAACCACAATTATGTGCATACACTTAAACAAAACCACACACTCAGCCCCAGAGTCTGCCTCTAATTAGAGCCAGTGTGTCTGTAAAACAGACTATTACCCTGCAGTCTTTCAGAAGATGAGTCCGACACGGCTGCGCTGACCGCTAATTTGACCAAAGAGCACGCTGTAATTGACGTCTCCGCCAAGGCTTTTTAGCGCCCGCACTTCGAGACGCTTGAAAGCTCTGCTGCATGTCTGGATGCGGGCTGAGTGATGTGCACTTCCTTCAGAAGCACATCAAATCCTGCAGTCTTTCCTGAGAGCTGCCTCCCCCTTTCCATCAGAGAATCACTCTACAGTCGCAAAATAAAGGTGCCGGATAGAGTTATTTTGAGTGACGCCGCAGAAGAACCAGCTTTGTTTCCCTAAAGAACCTTTCAGACGACTCTTTTAAGAATAATTTTCATAAATGAGATCTGTGAGTGTGAAGAACCCTTTTAAAGTTAAAGAACCTCCAAGTAATGTAAAGGTTCTAGACCAATTAAACGTTTCTCCATAGAACCGCACACCCAAGTCAATAACTTTTATTTTTTAAGGGAGTATAGGAGCAAAGTCAAGGCTGTGTTTGTGTATTTGGACTTAGGACTGCTGTTAGGATTAGTACTATCTTTGGGATTAGGACTGTTTCTGGGATTAGCACTATATTCAGGGACAGAGTTTGGGATTTGTACTATATTTTGGGATTAGTATTGTATTTAGGGATTAGTATTATATTTAGGGTTAGGGCTGTGCCTGTGACTAGTATTATATTTGGAGTTAGGACAGAGTTTGGGATTAGTACTATATTTTGGGTTATAATTGAGTTTAGGATGAGTAATATATTTGGCAATAGGATGCTGGGATTAGTATTATCTGTTGAATTATGATGGTTTTTGTGATTCGTACTGCATTTGAGGTTAAGACTGTGCCTGGGATTAGTATTATATTTGGCATTGGGACTTTGGGTTTAGTACTATCTGTGGGATTACGGCTGTGCTTGTGATACTGGATTTGGGGGTAAGACTGTGTCTGGGATTAGTATTATATTTGGAATTATGATTGTGTCTGGGATTAGTACTACATATGCAGTTAGGACTAAGTTTAACGTGGTATTTGGGGTCAGAACTATGTTTGGAATCAGTACTACATTTAGGGTTAGGTCTGTTTTTGGGATTAGTATTGTTTTGGGGTCAGAACAATTTGGAATTGGTAATATATTTGTGGTCAGTGCTTAGGCTTTAGTAGACTCTTATATGTTGGGTTTAGGACTGTGTTTTGGATTGGTACTATATTTGGAGTTAGAAATGTGATTGGGAATCGTATTGTATTGGGGTTAGGATTGTGTCTGGGATTAGTGTTATATTGGGAGTTATGACTGTGTCTGGGATTAGTAATACATTTGGAGTTAGGGCTATGTTTGGGATTAGTACTACAAATGCAGCTGGGACTATGTTTAATATGGTATTTGGGGTCAGAACTGTGTTTGGAATCAGTACTGTTTAGGGGTTAGTACCAAATTTGGGATTGGTCCTATATTTGTGGTCAGGGCTTAGGCTTTAGTAGACTCTTATATGTTGGGTTTAGGACTGTATTTGGGATTAGTACCATATTTGGAGTAGGAATTGTGTTTGGGGATAGTATTACATTTGGGGTTATGACTATGTTTGGGGTATTTGCAGTTAGGATGTATTGGGATTAATAGTATGTACTAATTTATATCCACAACAATCAATAGCACGAAATGAATGCATGCACAGTATCATTTTTATTTACTGGACAGCGTCCCTCCCTGACAGGCAGATGGACACTTCACTGCTGACACATGCATGAACAAGATTTTCGCAGGATTTCATGAAGTGTAAGTGCAGCCAGTTTGGAGGTTTCAGCAGTATCACTAACACTGTTTGATTCATGTGGCTGCAACAATCGCAAAGGATAAAATAGACTAATATTTCAACACACAGTACCAAAATAAATGACCTGCTGCTTAAGATAGTAAGTTACATGAATGGGTCACATCCAAGAAGGGTAGTGTTCTCCAGTGTTGACAGACAATGTTCCCTACAGGCTCCGTTCACGGTCTGGCTACACTAGACCTGCCTAGACTTGTTTAAATTTTATGAGAACATAAAATGGGAGCTCACATAAGAACCCTTTGAACTGTTATCAGTCGCCGTGGTAATTCCTCAGGATCTCTCGGACACAATGCTGTTTAAAATGTTGCTCCCCTCTTAGCGGCGCTCATATACATAAAGTATATTTGCCAAGGAAACCAAAATCAATTGGAACCTAATTTTCAGAGCAGTGTTGTATTGATTACTTGACTTTAAATTATAGATTGATCACACAGGCTTAATTACAGTGGTGGGCTTTGTTATTGCTGTGTAGGGGGCTAGTTTAATTACAGGGGTTGTGTGAGTGTGTATGTGTATGATTGCTTCATCTCTCAGTGCTACATTTAATGAAGCACACAGTGTTCTTTATTCTGAGAGCTACTGGTGTGGAAAAATTCACGTGCAATTAGCGTACACTCCTTTCAAAAACACTTTGACAAAATATTGAATTTACACAATCGTCCCTCTCACCCCAGATGTAGCTCATGAGCCAAGACTTGGTTTTTGAAGTCTGCTTCTTTAGTTTTAACTGGCACTATGAGGCAAACAAGCAATGGAGGCTTATATCTAACGATTAGCATCACTCAACCCCGTAGCTGCCTCATGGCTAAAGTCTCGTAGCTTTCTCATCGCAATGAATGTGAGCCTCAAAAAGTTTGTTTGACAAAGTGCTGTAAAGCATCAATACAACCAGCAGGCTACTGCATGACCCAGCATTATCAACCAATATTACTCCCTCAACTTAAAGGTGAATACAACATTTCTGCATTATTAAGTGGTTAAAATTCAAACTATTCATTATTACTAAGATATAATACATACTTTGTGTGTAAAATGGCATGAAAAATGAGTGGTTTGCTGTGAAATTCTTCATTCTAGAGAAACTTTGTTCACAGTGGTGGTGATAGGAACCAGACATCCACCTCTAAAAGCTCCTTCATAGAAAGTTATTATATGAAATGGTTATGAATTCACTGTTTGATGCCTAAAACAATGTTTTACAGTAGTTTCGAGAAGATTTTGTAAAATCCACTCATGGTGGAGGTACATACAGGGCACTGTAAAGCAAACTAGTACCTCTGAAAATCATATTTATTTCAGATTTATCACTATTTTACTATCACAACATTCCATACAAACACTCAGAAGACTCGTGTTGGTTCACTAATGGTTTTGGATAGTAAATAAAATGGCTATATTTGTGTTGTAGTCATGGTGACCCCTGGTTCCCATCACCACCACTGTAAAGAAATTTGAGTCAGTAGGTTTCTGTACAATGAACCATTTCAAAGCAAACAATTTTGACTTGGAGGATTTTTTTAAAGGCCCAATTTATAGCAAGTCGTGAATTTTGGAGAAAGGCCTTCAGTCCAAGCCATAAGTATCAAAACTCAGCCTAAAAACAAGAAAAAATACCTCTATAATGATGCTAATTTCTGCTAGAGCCCCTGAGGGATTTTTAATAGTATGTTAGCACAGAGCTAACCATTCTAGGTAAAGTCAGTTGTGGTCAAGTGAAGCCAGGTGAAGCCATGTGAAGCCATGTGAAGCCAGGTGTTGTCAGATGAGGTCAGGTGTTGTCAGGTGAGATCAGGTGAGGCCAGGTGAAATCAGGTGAGGTCAGGTTTGATCGAGTGTGGTCAGGCGTAGTCAGGTGTTGCCAGGTGAGGTCAGCTCAGATCAGGTGACTAGACTTACCTTGGTATTCACCATGCCCGCTCGCTGATCCCTCAGGTGTTCCAGTGTTGCAGCGATATCAATCTCCTTTGCACCTGCAAAACAAACGCTGGATTTAGACTGATCACAGTAAATCACAGTAAACTCTCCCGTTCACTCTGTCTTTCTTCTAGTACAGTAATGTAGCTGTAAATCATTGATGTGGCAGGTTGCTAGTAAAGACGATGAAGACTGCATCACAAAGAATGCTATATTAACTCAAGTAGAGATGTGGAAATCTGCAAAAAGTCAGAGGGAAGTAAGAGGCATCATACGTCTCTAGACACGGTCTGTTTCTTCGTGTATGTTCCTTTGTGTTTCTTGAGGCTTGGCGTATTGACTGCCACTGTGTAAGAGCAATGCTGCGAAAGAGATTATGCTCATTATATCATTATATATCCACTTTTCCTCTTTTGTACACCATATGGGCTGCAGCTTATTGTTCATGAAGTGTAGGCGTGGGTGGCTTTTTTCTTTTTTGTTCGTTCTTTTTGAGTTTGCTTTCTTTTTAGCTTAGTTACTACTGGAAAAGTTTAAATTAGTTTGAGATAACTTCTTAATGTGGCTGTAGAACATGTTAATAATGTATCATCCCAGTAAATTATTACAGGCACTATTTTTTAATGCCATTATTGCATTTTCTTAGTTTGACTATCTGTATTAATGCAGGCTGAGATCCGGCACTGTTTGTTGCTATAATAGAGTCCGTGATTGTAGTCCTCTTGTTCAAATACAGGTTATAAATGGCTCTGAAAGTGATACCTTTAGCTCTTTCTGCAGACTATGCTGGACAATGCTCGCAGAAGAACTGTGGATAATCAATGAGCAGCAAACTAACAAAAGACACAAACAGAAAACAGAAAAGTAAAAATCTCCAGTTCTCCTCGAGAGCCACCACAGCACCACAGTAACAAGAATCTATGAGCTGTATGAATGGAGTTGAACAATTGACTGTATATATGATATATATATATATATATATATATATATATATATATATATATATATATATATATATATATCACTGTTGCTCTCACTGGATGTCGGTGATGAAAACTCGAAACTGGATTATTAAGTTCATGTGTGCTGTGTTTACATTATGAAAACAATGTTATTGAATTACTGAGAATAAATAATAAATTAATGGATTTTCATGAAGCTTATGTGAACTCATATACCTATAATAAAATTTTCAAATAGAAAAAAATAAATCTTTAGGGTCAAATTTGAGGACAAACATGATTAATCACAGTTAACTAGACAAAATAAAGTGATTAATCATGAATAATCATAGTAATAGTTTCACAGCCCTACTGTAAATAAAACACCTTTATCCTTGATCTCAGTCTTTAATGTGTGCAATTGCACACAAAGGTTTGGGAACCCCTGAATAAATCACATATTTTGTTGCTTTTTAAAGTGAATAAAAGAAAACACAATGTCTTTGGCAAAACAATGTTTTTTTATTTATTTATTTTTATTTTCTATTTGCTATTTTTTCTTTCACATGTTAACAATAACTACTTTAAATTTGATCAATTTAAAAAGACAGGAAACAGTAATTGTAATTGTAAAGTCTCAGAAATTAATTAACCAGTTAACTGTGTAATAAGTTCTCTGGGCTCCTCTAATGGGCTCCTCTAATGGGCTCCTCTAATGGGCTCCTCAAAACAGCTGGCCAAGGATCTGAAAATGAAGCTAACCTATGATGACAATATTGTAAAAGATAAAGCACTTCCAGCTTCCAATTTGCACTGTCCAAATGCAAAGTAAAACCCCCATATTACAGCAAAGATGCACCATTGTACTGTGCAGTGTTTCTTGCACAAACATGATCTACAAAGAAGAGTCAGAAGGAAACTTTACCTGTGAACTCATCATATCTGAAGTATGCAAAATAACAACATAACTAGTTAAGTCAGAAACATTTTTGAGAACAATTGCTGTGGACTTACGAAGTAAAAACAGAACACTCTCTGGCCACAATCGCCAAAGCTATATTTGGAGATAAAAGGAGCAGCGTTTGATGAAAAGAACACCGTGCCAGCTGTTCAACATGTGGGTGGGTCTATTATGCTTTGACTGTATAGCAGCCAGTGGCAGGGACCGTTGCACAAGCAGACAGAAGAATGGATTCCACTAAATATCAGCAAACTCTGGAGGCAAATGTGACACAGTCAGTCAAGAAATTGAAGCTGAAAAGAGGCTGGCTTCTCCAACAGGACAATGCTCCGAAATCCACCATGAACTACTTCAAGAAATGCAAGCGGAAGCTTTTGGAGTGGCCCTCACAGTCCCCTGACCTGAACATCACTGAAAATCTGTGGGTAGATCTTAAACATGCTGTGCCTGTAAGACGGCCCAAGAATATTGCAGAACTAGAAGCAAAGAAGAGTGGGTGGAAATTCTAAGAAAGACTAGAACAGAAGAATAGAAAGACTCCAGCTGGCTACAAAAAGCATCTGCAAGCTGTGATATCTGCCAAAGGGGCTGTTACTAAGTACTGAATGTCAACACTTGTGCTCATGCCAAGATTCATATTTTATATTATTATGCGTATTTTTAAAGTTAATCAAAGGTAAGGTAAGTGTGTGTTAACATCTGGCAATGTTGCTGTTTAAAGCACTTTGCTGTAGAGGTCATATTTACTTTTGTTCACTTAAAAAAAAACAGCAAAATATTTAATTTGGCTAAAAATTTGCATACAACTGTAGTGCCTCCTATAGCATGGCAGTAAAATATAAGGTGGACGTAAGGTATGTGTTGTTGGTCAGGAAGCCTCAGCACACACAGGGTGTGATAGGAATTTCCTCCACTTCTGCAGCTGAGCTTGGGTCACCTGAAGCCTTGGGTTCACTACATGACTTTCAAAGTCTTAACAGATTATAAAAGACTGGGTGTCTCATACTGTCCGACTGGCATTTGATAAACTCGATTGTGCCTTAAACTCAGCTCATTAAAAAGCTCAGCAATTTTCTTCGTTTACTTGCTGTATTTTCTTCTTTCATTCTCTCGGTTTTCATTGGCTGCTGCAGGAATCCGTTCAGATTGAGTCGCTAATCAGTTTACACTAGATTTCACTCAGAGTCGGCTCGAAAAAATCAAACATGTTTGATAAACTCGACTGGTCTGAAATGAGATCGGGAGGCCAAAAATCTGAGTCTGCGCCCCTCAAACACGACTCGACTCTCTCTCCAACCGTGGACTCCGACTGACTCAAAAATCTGCAGACCAGAGCCGACCAGCACAGACTCGACCAGACTGAGAATCGGGGCTAAAATCGGGGGTAAAGGTGAATAGTGTAACCCTGGCTTGAGTCGAAATGGTTAATCATTGAAAAATTCAGCGTGGCTGGACGCGGGGTTCCATTTAGCGCGAACGAATGAAATTCAATACTGCAGGCCCTACACACACTCAGGGCAGGGAGGCCTAACAAGCTCTCATTCTCCATTCACTCACTTTTCTTAAAGAAAAGAAAGACCCCCCTACTCCTCAGAGAGACATGAAGAAAGAGAGAGAGAGAGGTTGAGAGAGCAGGAGAGACAGAGAGTGAAGCGTTTTGAAAGAAAGCAAGTGCAGCTGGGGTCCCCGTCTCAAAAAGTACTCCAACACTTTCATGTCTTAAGAAGTGCAGAATTCTTAAGTTTAGGAGGGAAGGAGAGAAGGAGAGAGTAAAAGAGGGAGGAAAGGAGGGAGGGAAGGAGGGAGGGAGGGAGAGAAATAATCTCAAACAAGAAAAGGCTCTGGAAGTAAAATGACATTCTTGAGTAATTTACAATTCATTGGTGAAGATGAAGGAAAGGGCAAGGGGGGGGGATGCGACGGGGGGCATTTGAGGGATGGGGAAAAAATAGTAAGGAAGAAGAAAAATGGAGAGAGAAGTGGAGAGAGAGTGGGACGGAGGAGGGAG